ACACACACACACACACACACACACACACACACACACACACACACACACAGAGAGAGAGAGAGAGAGAGAGAGAGAGAGAGAGAGAGAGAGAACACTAAGTGACTCCCTGCTGGCACAGGCAGGGCCCAAATACATATCAGCTCTAAGAAAGATGGGCAGACGAAACTGCATGCCCCTCCCTGGTGCTTCTGCCTGGGTTCCAGAAAGTGGGAACCCCAACTTCTGACTTAGTGTCATAATTTCTGCTCTTGTTTTGGCAGTGGTGCCCTGGATTCCTTCGGTTACATCTCTATGCAGGCTGCTAAGGGTTAATTCTCATCCAGAACCAGAATATTTTCTCCATTGTTTTTGATCTCCAAACGTAAAGAAAAGGGGGATTTGGAAAAAAAAAACATAAATTTCCTGAGAAGTATGGGGAATTTTCCAGTGGAAACATTAACAGTGAAGACTAGGGCAACAGAGGCTGGGGCAACATTTATCGGGGAAAAGGTGGCAAGACTGGAGGAGGGCAGCGAGGTTAACAGTTTGATCATTAGGGCCTGTGTTCAGTGTAAGGATTCTGAGAAATGGAGACTCATGGGGGAACATGGAGCCGAGGACTGAGGTTCTGAACATACTGTAGGATACTGTGCTTCCAGTATATAGGAGGTGCACGGGGCGCGCGGGGGGGTGGGGATTGAACCAAAGAGACTACAGGTAGATTATTGCAAACAACTAGGTGAAAGTGGGAACCCTGCAGGTGTGAGAAGCCTTTGGATTCTGATACATTTGAAAGCAGACCGGTACCATTTATAACACACGAGCGAGGAGGAGGAATTGGGGACAGTGCCAAAGTTGTTGAGTTGAGCCTGGGAGGATGGGCTGGAGTGGAGAGAGTAGACAATGGAAAAGTGGTTTGATTTTGTTGATCTGCTAAGTTTGAGAAGGTTCTTACACAGCTGAGGGGTCATGCGTTACTGAGGTCCGATAAAGGAATGGAGTTGCAAGATGGAGAAAGGGGATGAAGAAAGAACACCAGTTTGGTGATCCAGACAGCGAGTCCTTATGCACTGCGCACAGAGGAATTATGAGTAATTATGAAGGTGTATAAAGACATGATAATCCTTCATCTGCAGCCCAGTCTTTACACACACACACACACACACACACACACACACACACACACACACGTGTCCAAATTTGACAAAACTTTCACGTACGACATCTCTGAGCTGCACATCAGTTTTGCAGGGAGGTAACTGAGATATAAGAGGACAACTGGCTTGTAGGACATCCTAGAAGCCGGTCAGAGCCACGTAAACAGCGGGATCCTCGTTCCGGAGTCCAGCCTAAATATGAACAAACCATTCCTCACCTAGAAGATTCAGTAACGGTTAAAGGCGGCCTTAGTCTCACAACCTCCACCCTCACCGCTTCAGCAACCTTCCTTGTGCTTTCCGGTCCCCAGTGCCCATCTCCGACGGGACAGCCCTTTACACATATCGCGAGACCGAGATCGCGCGCTTCCAGTTGCCAGGGCAACAGCGTTCTTCGAGACAGCGGGCATCTTTCATCTCCACAGAGGTGGTGGTGGCGGGAAAGACCCGTCCCCTTCGAGGGGAAGTGGATGACGCTTGGATGTCAGCGGCGCCAGTTAGTGCCTAGGCGTCTAGCCTTCATCCCCACCGGGAAGGTGAGGGACCGCACGGACCACGGGCAGAGGTCGGTAGCAGCTCGGCAGGCACAACAGCGTGCGAACGGGCGGAGTCCTGTCGGTGCCAAGGGGAGGGGCCATGGTGGTGGGTGTGGCTTGTCCTGCCAGGTCATAGGGGGCGTGGCTACAGGGGCGTGGCTATGTCTGGGAGGGACTGTGGAGTCTCAGGGAAACCGTGGTCCCTGCTGGGAACTCACTGCATTAGTCCATCTTTCTGAACCTTCTTGCCACTGAGGTCTAGAGAACCAGTCAGTAGTCTAGACTGTAAACCGCACATAGTCATGACACAGAAAAAAGTGAAAATAGAAAGAGGGCTGGTAAACATTGGCTGGGAATTCAGCTTTTCCTATGATAGAAGAAAGTAAACCAAACCTCTGAACATCTGTCAGGCTGGGGAATATAAATAGGCTTTTCAGACAACCAGCTTGGCAACAAACTAATATAGAGACATGGGCAATTTTACCTCGTCAGAGCAGATCATGTACTAACTACATGAATTGATCAGAAAATGGTATAAAACGTTGGCATGTATGAGCAGCTGTTTGCTACCACTAGAACCTGGTATCTGTTATCTACTTCACTGATTATCATAATGTGTCTGATATTTTAATTTTGATTCTTTTAATACCCTAAGAAAGTGTGCATTATGTGTCTTTAAACGAGGAAATGTCTGTAACAAAAATTCTGTTCATACCAGTTGCTCTTTTCACAGTAGACCTGCATAAGAGTGATTACTGATAACCACATGACAAGCAATATTCGGCTGTCCCGAAATCTCCTCTGCCAAGGAAATGAATCCATTGCTTTTCAGTTTTGCCATAAAGAAATGTTTAGGGCAAGGGCAGAAAGCATCCACATTCTTTGCCAGACATCCCAAGAATGTGCTGTGGCCCAGTTGCTAGTACTGTTCCCCCTGGAAACTCTTGAGGTTTGTGGGCCTCCACAGACTACATAGCTCTCAGCACTTTGTCTTCCTCCCTCCCGCTAGGATGGCCAGGTAAGCTCCGCTTACAAAGTTCAATGATTTTCCTCGTCTAGAGTCCCGGAGTCTTCCAATTCCTCCAAAACACAGTATTGTCAGACCTGCCCCAGAAATAATCCATTCCTTGTACCAGCTTCTGTCTTAATTACTTTTCTGATACTGTAACAAAGCACCATGACCAAGGCAACTTGTAAAAGAAAGCCTTCAATGGACTTACAGACTCAGAAGGTTCGAGTCCATGATGGCAGAGCAAAGGCATGACAGCAGGAACAGCTGAGAGCCAGGTCTTGGTCTGAAAGTCGGAGGCAGAGAGAGCTTAGAGGGAATGATGAGAGTTTATTGAAACCTCAAAGACTGCCCCCTCTCTCGCAAAGACACCCCCTCCAATAAGGCTATGCCTCCTAATCCTTCCCAAACATTTCTACCAACTGTAGACCAAGTAGTTCAACAGAAGAGCTTCTGGGGGCATTATCATTCAAACCACCACACATGCTTAGTACATCAGTGATTTTATGGCAGCTATATATTACTTTTAGCAATGGTTTTTGCTTTTACCAAAATAATATGGCCCAAGTGTTAAACCGTGAAGTGGAATAGAGAAATCCCCGGTCACAGCCTCTGGAGGCAGTCGTCTTGAACTCTTAATTATTGTTTTGGCTTTATCAATTTTTGGATGTCCTCTTCAGCTTCCTATTATAATAGATTCTTCTACACCCGTTCTTTTGGATACTGTTCCCCACCCCATACACTCAGTGAAGGCATGATATTGGTTAAATCCATACTCAGTACTCACATAACTAAGCACACATTGTTTGGTTGCTTTCTTGTACAGCTCTTCATTTTTCGTTGGGGATTTCTGTGTGACAAGTGATTCCTTGAACACACAATACATCTATAAGCTCCCAGTACAATGGTCTCTATTCTGACTTCTTTTCCAGATGGTCAAATATACAGACAGTCTGTGTCAGTTACATTTTCTGTGAACCGTGATTCATTTAATTTGATATGCTTGGGAGGGAACAATAGTAACAGACCAGATTTTGAAGCAAATGGAAAGATTTCTGGGGTCTTTTAGCTGATCCATGGCGTGGATGGGTCCCTGTGCCCTGACCTTTTTTTGATGTGTATTATATTGGTTCCGCCACATGCTTCCACTCCCCGCTCCTCTCAAGCTGCAGTTAAGTCCTCCTTGACAGGATGCGGGCATGGAAAAGACATTTGGCCTTTTAGTGACTTATGCTTTTCGGTGGTGATGTGACGGGGCCAGGGTGATCCATCATCCACAGTAACCATGTCAGGCCCTTCCTGAGCGAGCCACGACCCTTTTACACCGTGTGAATAATGTTGACAGCAATGCCTTTTCAGTTGCGGAGTGGGACGGGTTGGCCAACTGTTCTCTGCAGTCAGCACATGGAGCAGCTAGAGGCCAAGGCCGTGTCACTCCTCAGTGAGCCCGAGAGCAGCTTCAGCGTGTTAATGTTGGTGCTTCCTTCGGTGTGTGGAGTCTTTGGACTCTGAGTGTGTGGCTCACAAACTGAAGGAAAGACAGGCCGCTTTGTATGACGAGGAGGGATTTTGAAGTCTTAGTGCCTACGTGTAATTTGGAAATGATTTGACGGAGCAAGCCCGTTCATATTTGAGCGGGATTTTCAGTTTCTTCTGGTTTGCAGCATGATATTGTTCCCCCATCCCCAGTGGATCTGTAAGGGTCGTTATCAAGGGCATGGTTTGGAAGGATCTATCCACAGTGTTTGTCTTCTCCCTCTAGTTCAAGCCTTTCTGCCCGAGTGAGCTAGTCTCACTTTCAAAATCTGCACTAGACATAAAGTGACGATAATGAAGACAGCCTGTGGAGAGTCTCATGTAAAGTGGTTAAGAGGCGGTTGACAAAGCACAGCCAAATAATGCAAGTCTATCCTGTAATAAAGGCTGCAGGTTTTATTCTCTTGTGCCAGTCAGAAGCAAAACTGCCGACTTCAGGAGGGGGGAGCTGATTAAATGAAGGCTGTGCTGTGGAGGAAAGTGCTCCAAAAAAATGTGACCTATATGAAGCAGGAAAGGCTGGAAGGAGGGCAAGCCCAGATGGAGGCAGGTGGGAGGCCTTAGCAAGTCCTTAAGATGCAGGGGGTTAGGGTTAGAGAGGTGTCCCTGGAGAGTTCTCCTGTGGAAGAGCAAAAACAAGCACATTTTTGTTTTTGTTTTCCTGCATCAAGACAGTGAGACAGCGTTCACATCTGCATCCCACCTTAACTGTGGTCAGCACCTGATGCATAATCCATGTACGTAAGATTCTCTGGATGACACTGAGGAGCGCTTATGTATGTGATGTGGTAGTGAATAGGTTCTGAGTAATTGTCTGGAAGCCTAAACTGATTAAGGAGACATCTAGACCTCTAAACCACTCGCTTCTTAATTCTTTTGGCTTGGTGTAGGATGTCGATGGATATTATAAAGGGAAACCTAGATGGAATTTCAAAGCCAGCCTCAAGTTCACGATCACGTCCTGGCAGCAGAAGTTCAAATGCTTCTCTGGAGGTGCTCTCGCCAGAACCAGGGGCCTTCAAGGTAATCTTTCATTTGGAAAGGAGTCGAGCTCTCTGCCACAACAGTGGAGACCAAGGTTGACTCCCATTTGAATGTTGTCTTCAGACGGTATTCACAGGTTCCTGACTTTTCCGTAGCTTGTTCAGGATGATCAGGCTTTCTCCTCCTCCCCACTGCCTTCTTTCTTCTTGGGTATGTTTTCTTAAAATCTATGTTAAACTTCGTTGTGTGTTGTTTGGCTTCATAAGGAAACATTGTATTCCAGTATCTAATGTACGCCCACTGACATTTTACTATGAAAATGGCTCAGTATTTAAAAATAGATGGCTCGGGAGGTAAACTGCTTGCCGCGTACTGTGAGAACCCGAGCTTGAACCCCCAGAATCACATAAAGCTGGCTGTACATCTGTACGTCCAGTGCGTCTGTGGGGAGGTGGGGGCGTGTTGGAGACAGGAGAACTCCCCAAAGCTTTTGGCCTGCTAACCTGCTGACCACGGTGCCTAACAACAGAGACCCTGTGTTATGAAGAGGGTTGCGCACTTGTCCGTTTATCCTTTCTGGCCTTCGGAGTGGTCCTAGGGCTGCCCATCGCTGTGGTGGCGCGTCCCCACGCTGGTCCCTCCTAACGGCTGAGGCTGGGGGGCTGGAGGAGACGGTCCCCCTCCATGAAGAGAGTTTCTTCAAGAACTCAGCTCTTCCCAGGTGTGTTTACCTCATTGTGTCCCCCTTTGTCCTGGGTGGGTTTCGGAGGTTTGCCAACCGATTTCTCTTGACCCATCTGTGAGTGTCCCTTTGTGCCCTCTCTCAGGAAAGCCGGCTGGCCCAAACTGCTGTTTTCACAATGAAGTTTGCTGAAGTGCAAAGGGAAGGGGAAATAAAATAGGAGGCTGAGATTAGCCCAGCATGTGCGTCTCATTAGAAACATCTCGTTCACAATTCAGAACTGCTTCTGAGCCCTTCAGCTCTCTCAGCAGCGTGCCAGGGGACGGGGCTGCTGCTGTGGACAGCGGACAGCAGTGCTCCTGGATCCTGAACAAGGCTCTTTGGGGCCAGTCTCAACTCTTCCCCATTATTACTTAAGATGGGGGGACAATGGTATCAATTTAATTTTCAGTGAACTTGTACTTCATTAACGTTTCTCGGAACTCCAGTGCTAGTGTGGGTATTCACACATCTCCACAGGGCTTTCATTAATGTTAAATGCTACGATATGTGAAGTTTTAAGAAAACAGAATATCC